TCCTGGAGTGGCCTAGCCAGTCTCCAGATCTCAACCCCATAGAAAATCTTTGGAGGGAGTTGAAAGTCCGTGTTGCCCAGCGACAGCCCCAAAACATCACTGCTCTAGAGGAGATCTGCATGGAGGAATGGGCCAAAATACCAGCAACAGTGTGTGAAAACCTTGTGAAGACTTACAGAAAACGTTTGACCTCTGTCATTGCCAACAAAGGGTATATAACAAAGTACTGAGATTAACTTTTGTTATTGACCAAATACTTATTTTCCACCATAATTTGCAAATAAATTCTTTAAAAATCAGACAATGTGATTTTCTGGATTTTTTTTTCTCACATTTTGTCTTAGGTATACCTAGGATGAAAATTACAGGTCTCTCATCTTTTTAAGTGGGAGAACTTGCACAATTGGTGGCTGACTAAATACTTTTTTGCCCCACTGTATATATATATATATATATATATATATATATTCAAAAATTTTTCCTTTGGAAGTCCAACTTTTTTTCCAGGGTGACATCTTATATTAAGTCTGTAAGGTTCAGTAATAGGGAATGGATGCACGGCTAGAGTTTAACAAGAACAAAACCTGCTAATACAAAGACGCAACTGAAACAAGCCTTAAAAGCATTTTGGATGAAGTCATACAGCTAGGATATGCTTTAAGTTGGAAAATGTTAGACTTTAGGTAATCACATTTGAAGATAGGGCTGTTAAGAAGTCATGAGGATTTTTCTCTGAGGGATTTATCATATTTTTCGTTTTTATTGTAGACACCAAAAAAGTAGACGGTCCCTGACATCAAGAGATTTAAATCCGCCTTTTGTTCTCGCCGTGGAGCTGGCCCTGGTGCTGAAATGGGTCTAACTCCATTCGTGACACGTTATCCTGAGAGTCTACAATATTTCCTCTCCTATTGAAAAAAACAAACATTAAATCAATTAGTGAGCTCTTAAAAGCTGGGACCGTGGTTTTACATCGCAAAAACGCACACACACGCCCTGAGTGAAATCTCGACAGCATGTAAACAATGAGCCCACATGACACGCAGGAGGCTGCACACACCCCACTTGCGCACACGATGACACTTCAATGGAGTCACGATTTGGTTCTGCGTGGCTTCCGCAATATTAAACGTGTTTATTTAGAAAAACACAGCAAACCCCTGACCCAGGATTGAATCGTTAAATCCTTTATTTACAACAGGGGAGTATCTCCTCGGCTTGTCTCTAATGTTAACACCGCCATCTGCCATCAGTCACTAAATCCTGTCTTCTGCCCTTCAACCCCAATATAAGCCTACCGTTCGGGCAGCCAACCGAAAATGAATTAATGTTTATATAGGAAAGCTGCGCCACGAGAACATTTGAATGAGTTTTAGTGTCACTTTCACAATGGATGTCATTTTTTTCAGAGTGTAACCAACAACGACATCTGGTGACAAGCTGCAAACACAAGCGAGGACAGTGGTCGTGAATATGTTGCACTAGGTAGAAGACATGGCAAAAGATTGTTTATTATGGGATTTTTATTAAGTGGCCTTTCGTGCTGTGGAATTGGTGAGTAATATATAAGTAATATATAGATAATGTGTTGGTAGCATGTTGTGTTTACTGGTTGAGGTGCAGCTTATCTTTATTGTGTTGGGCAGTTCAATCTCTAACACAGCATCCATTACTTTTTTGGTGTCCTAAAAACTTGTAGCCTACTTGTTAAATAGAAAAAGTGTTAGTGCAGCAAGGTAGTTCTTCAACCTGTATTTTGAAACAAAAGAGTAAGGCACATTACAGGACTAAACCTTTTCAAAGGAAATACTTCAAACAAATGAATTATCTCATTCCAAAAATGTCCCGCAAAATGTTTTTTTGCTTTTTCAACATTTTGAGAGAAATGGTTCTGAAAGGACATAAAACAGCTGCTAATTGTGAGAATAAACAGACAACACAAACTTGTTTTATTTTATAGAAGGAACAATAGATCTTTATTTCATAACAATGTGCATTAAATGACAATTTCTACATATTGCAGGTGTATAAATCCCTTGATGTTGTGGAACTCATTGAGATGTAATTGTGTGTATGAGCGACACAATATATAGTTTAAGAAGTATCCAATAACTCTGAATGTACTTACCCGAATGGGCCTCTCTGTTCATCCTCCCAGCTCTCCTGAGATTCCCCCTGAACACAAAGAAAAACAGAGACAATTTCAACATTTTATTTCCCCTCACCTTTGTATTGATTTGATTTCCTGCCAGTGTCTGATGTATTAAACTGGAGGCTCACTCACATCTCTCACATGCTGCACAGCATTCATGATAGAACAGAAGAGCCAGGAGCTGTGCAGGATTCAAAGAGGAGAGCCACCACAACATCAAACCCCCTCCTCCTCTTCATCATCAGTTAACATGTGGATAAGGTTCCCATCACATCAGACACATCAAAGTGTGGCTCTGGATCCCTGAGGGGGACGACAGCAGGAGGGAGGGAAGGAAAAGGAATAGGTTAGAAATCAAGGGAAATTAGATTTGTCTAAGGAAGTAAACATTATTTCCATTTCAGGATACATTATTAAACACACATCTGAATTATCATGGCATATTTCAGCACGTGGAGAACAATAAACGATATCATCAATCTCAGTGAAAAAGTATAAAAACATCTAGATTTTTTTTTTTACAATGGCTGCCATTCGTCTCACGAAGCAGGCTGATAAAGTGAAAGTGATCCTGGAAAGGTCTACTGACATCTGGCGACGGTTCACCCACATTTACAGCACTATTTATTATCAGTCACGTTTTCTTATATGACTGATTACTTCGTCCCGACTCCTGCCTCGTAATAATAGTTTCTGTAAAATAAATCCGCACTACTTTATACCGCACAAAATCAAAAAATGTGTTCAAATCAGCTTTTAGTTCGTTTTTTATAATTGTTTCACCGTGTGCTGCACAGTTGCACGAGTGTTTTGTAAAAAATCGATCCTAATTTCCGTGAACAAAGGCTATAATGATTGGAGAGCAGGTCCTAATAAAGGTCAATCTCACCCAAAATAATGAATCACGTAGTGAGAGTAATTAACGTTGAAAAGTGAAACTTCCGCGTCTCGTTTGAGTCTACGAGTTAACCATTTCTTTTTCAACACATCGAAATTCAGATAATTCGGTAATATAAAATGTAACATATGTGATTTATTTTTCTTAAATCGTGACTAAGCAGTTAAAAGAGCTTGGATAGTCTAACAATTCTATTTTGATAAATGTCATACGAATTGATTTATTCTAAGAGCATCAATTAAGCGAGTGATTAATTATCCAACAACGAAGTAAGGTGTTCAAGTCCAAAATATCCAATTAACATTTGATTATTTTTGCAAATTAATTAACCAAGTAGGACTTTAATGCCTGTTAGGTAATTGCCTAATCCATCTTACTGATTATCACTTTGGCTTGCAAACTTCTCCCACTGAAGGGTTACCTTAAAGAGGCAGAAACAGAAAGCCCTCTACTGTGCACTGAGGGAAACAAACACGTGTTCCAGAAGGGAAAAAATGAAGCCTCGACTGGAGATGTGTCCATTACACCCCCAGGGCAGATAGGGGGAAGGATTTCAAACCAAATAGAAAGCTTTAAGACTCAATAGAGGCAGTTACACCTCATGTTATCAGATTTGGTTGAGTTCCCACTAGAAAAGCAGATTCATATTTTCAAAGATAAAAGTACAATTGAAAATATCAAAACGCAACATGGTTTAAGAATAACAGATATAAGAAATAACAGAATCAATGTATAAGCCCAGTAATCAGTGGAGAATAAGTTAAGCTTAATAGAGTCCACTGAAAACAACAGTCTTAGGTAAATTTCCCTAATCATCCACTAATCTAAATGTTAGATTGTATTACTAAAAGCAAACTTTGTGGAGAAAATACTACGAATGCAACATGAGACTTCTCTTTCACCTGTAACTGACCACACTAAGTAACTGTCTTTTATGGTCGGTCAAGTTATCTGTGGCCCGACTAACCAAACAGAAAAGTTCACACAGGTTAAAGTAACCTCGGTGTGGACAATATTTAAAGTTTTTTTTTTTAAATAATATTGAATTATTTAACTAGAGCAGACCTTTTTTTCAACCTATGGTAATGTTAACTTTTCTTTACAAAATGGCAGCATTTGAAGGAAATGCCTTATGATCGACGTGTTACCATTTGGATGCAGTTAATGTACGCAAGTTAGGCAGATTTGTAGTCCTTGAATGATTACTTTTACCTCTCTGGAATAATATTGCATGGTAACAGCACTTTTTAAGACCTAATAGAAAACTAACAATGGATCAAACCCTTCCCTATAATCTTATTCCCCATGAGTATCAAAATAGTAATGAGTAATTCTACAAAAAGCACTGACGCACTCCGATGCTGCGTACAGACGATGACTAATAGGTAGGGGCAGTGGTGCAACAGTCTAAGGATCAAAGGATAAAAACAACACACATTTTTCAAACTCAGATTTTTATTAGTCAGTACAAGTAAAACGAAACTGAAGACGATTTTCTTCATCCCCTCCAAAAATGCACTTCTGCGTCGGAGTTGAAGGCAGAAAGAAACTCACAGCTCTCTCCTCCTTTGAGTAGACGTGTGCCGCTCTCCGAAACCTAAAACTATCGCCGCAGGTATCTCACGCACAGGTGGAGAAAGCATCGCTTCACAAATATATAACATTCGGTGTAGAAACAATGCAAAAATGTTTTGCCTAAAATATGCGAACGAGAATCGTAGAAGGAACATAAATTTTATAACATATTTCAGACCCAAAGGGATTTAATTTAAATTGAGTTTTTACCAAAAGCTACTTGAAACTGCTGATTTGAAGAGAAGCGGTCAAAACTGCTCACTGAAAAAACGATATAACAGCAGAAACATTGCACCAACTACATTCTTTTGTTTCTCTTTTAGCAAAAATAACTATCATCGAGTTCAACGTCCGGTACGAGTTAACCTACACTTGAGCGAATGCACACACGCATACCATGCACACACTCAAATGACGCTCTAATCCATATTTAATACAATGCTTCACACAAAAAGTGAATTATATATATATATATATATCCACCTCTTATTTTCTTTCATCTTCTGTCTTCACTCTTCCGCTCAGCAGCCCCCTCAGAGCCTCCTGGTGTCTCTTGTTCTCCTGCTTTATTCTTCGCCCCTCTTCTGGTATCAGCTGAATTCATTCCTGGTGACCACCTCTGCTCTTTCATCCACCTAGATTTTCACAGGTGTGGAACTCTGACCCTGCCTTCATGACATCCAGTGATTTAAGAGCTCAGAGCTTCATGCCCACTCAGTAACGTGGGGGTTGAAAGGGTCTTTTCGGGGGGAACATTGGACCAGGATGTCCACCTCCTCTTGGACCAGGTCGTTTGCCTCTTAACCTTGGACCGGGGCCCTGGAACCGAGGAAATGCTGCATGTGGGGGTCCTCCGGGGTGTGGGTGGTGTGCTGGGTGAGGAAGCCGATGTGGAGGCCGTGGTCCAGGATGACGAATTTCATGATGATGTGGTGGAAGTGGTCTCCTGGGAGCGAAGTGCGGAGGACGGGGGTTGTGGCCCTGGTAGTAAGGGTCCTCTGAGGCCGAGAGAGGGGGAGCGGGGGGCCCTCGAACTCTGGGGTAGTGCTGCGGAGGGTTACCTGGCCTGTGATAAGGATCTTCTGGGTGGGGGAAATTGTCTTCTTGAAAGAAATGGGCATCATAGTGATCATGATGGCGGGGGTCATCTTGGTAACCCAGGTCGTCTGGGTGAGGGGGGAAATCTTCCGGGTGAGAAGGAAGGGGTCTGTCTAGGTGAGGATGGAAGTCTTCAGGGTGAGGATGGAAGTCTTCAGGGTGAGGATGGAAGTCTTCAGGGTGAGGATGGAAGTCTTCAGGGTGAGGATGATGCGGTCTGTCGAGTTCATAGGGCGAATCATCAGGATGGAACATGGATTTGTGTTGATGGTCGTGGACGATCATCCCGCTGATGACACTGTCACCTCGGGGCCCGATCGCCTTCCCCATCCCAGCGCCGGGCCCCGGGTGCTGCTGCTCTGGTGGCATCATCATACTGCTGTTCCCAGAAGGAGGGGCGTCTAAAACTTGAGGAGGGGGAGGGAGCTTTGGGACAGGAGGGAGGGTACCTCTGAAGTAAACAGGGGCCGTGGCGGCGTCCTGCTGGGGGGCCAACTGTTGAGGTTCCCGAAATGTCTCTGTTTGGTATGGATAAAGTCCAGAGGAATTGTGTTCTCCAGGCCCCGTCACATTGTAGCCTCTGGGTTGCTGGGAGTTCCCCCCTTGGTAACTGTCCCCATACCAACCGCTTTCACTCCCCCCCTGAAAGCCTTTCATTGTCTGTGTGCTACCGGCACCACCTGGGGGTCTTACTCCAGGCCCCGGCCCTCCTGTTTGTGCAGACATCTGCTGGTAGTGAGCACCAGGGGCGGCCATGCCATGCTCCGAAACGTTGTGTTGGCCGTAAGGGTACGGCTGGTATGCCTGCCCGTTCTGAGGGCCCCCCCCGGGCTGCAGGCGGGCCTGCTGTGGGGGATTGTTGTGCTGACTGCTGTTCTGGTATGCTACAGGAGCCATGGTAACCGTATCTCCAATCGATGACTGATTTGTCTTGGAGGTGAACGGGACCACCACAGGCTCGTCCATTATTTCATCTTGAGTTGGGGTGCTGCCGCCCTCATCCCGCACTGGGGTCCCGCCCTGGTTGTCTGTCCCAGTTACGGGGCTGAGGTTGTCCGCTGCTGCCACAGGCTTTGTGGGAAGACTAATGCCAAACGCATTGAAAGCCGGGTTCCCCTGCAGGAAGCTGTGGATTTTAGACTCTAAGCTATCCGAGGACAAGGCCGGTGATTTCTCTGTAGTCAGATCCATGTCCCGATGGAGAGCCTGGACCAGAGCAGATGCTGCATTTGAAGTCTTGGGCGGGGCTTGGGAACTCAGACTCAGCCTTTCAGTGGCGCTGTGTGAAGAAGGCACAGGTGCAACAGGCGGGAGAGACGGGCTCTGAGAGGGTGCTGCTGACGCGGATGTGGATAACGGAGGGATTTTTCCTATACTGGACGAGACTGAGGAAACATTTGGGCTGCTCAGAAGAGAAGAGATACCTGAGTGAAGAGAGAAGAATACAGAAATGCCCTTTAAGCAAACATACCTCTTTGAATGTGTGATATCAAATAAAAAATGTTTTTATTTTCAGACAAAACAAGGACTCCTTTTTCTCACCCCCGAGGCTGCCTCTACCCTGGACTTTGGAGAGAGCGCCCAGGATGTCTGCAGAACTCATGTCCACCTTAGAGAGGAGGTTCACCAGAGAGCTGGCTTCATGAGGGGCCACAGGGGCCGCTGGTGGACTCTTCAATGAGGAGGCAGCAGGGGAGCCTGCAGGAGGACTCTCCACTAATGGTCCTATAACACAGAGAGGGGTACCAGGTGTTTTAACCACGAAAGCCCTTAAATATAACAATAGGATTTTGGTAACATATTTTTAATAAAGAAAGAAAATATTTGATACATACACCACACCATACTATGTCTTAGAGATGCATTTATTACAATTTTGTTCCATTTCCTTCACTTTTCACTACGTATAGCAGCTGATGCTGACTTGTGGCCAGCTGTGTTCATGTTGTTCCACAATGACTTATTATGGACTTGCAGGAGTAACAAAGTGCAAGCTTTATTTCTTCTTCACTCACACTGAAGAACTCCCACACTGACGACATTGTGTGTATGTAGCATTACCAGTATTATGTCACCAGACTGGTGACAATCGCTTTGGAAAGGTGGCCAATCAATCATTGCATCTTTACTTTGTGTTACATTTGATCACCATTTTACTTTTCTTTTACAGTTTTCAAATAGTGTTTCAGTAGCCACCAGCACTCACCTGTGTTCTTCATGACTGCATTCAAACTGTTGAGGATGGAGCCAATTTTACCCAGGTCCACACTTTCCACTGCTGCACGAGGCACTACAGGAGCCGCTGGTACAGGAGGAGCTGTTACAGGAGGAGCTGCTGCAGGAGGAGCTGCTGCAGGAGGAGCTGTTACAGGAGGAGTAACTGGAGGAGGAGTAACTGCTGGAGGAGTAACTGCTGGAGGAGTAACTGCTGGAGGAGTAACTGC